CTCTACCCACATCTGTACTGTAGAAAGTGAAGACAAAGTTGGCTGGAGATTGATAGGACTGTAAATGTCAGAGAATGGATTCTCTATAGAACTCTCTGTTCTGGTAGTAGGAAAGCTGACTGCAGCACATCTACTTTTTACATCTTATGCTGAGGAATTCTCTCTTCCAGAAGTCATGAATAGGTGATTGATTTCATAACAAATAAAAGGGAGAGCAAAGTATCCTATTCCAGGACAGGTAGTCCTTGACTTTAGTTACCTTTCATTTAGTTACTGTTTGAAATTGCAATGGCACCGAAAAAAGTGCCTTACAACTGGTCCTTATGACCGTTGCAGTATCCCCAGTCACATGATTAAAATTTAATGCTTGGTAACCAGCATGTATTTAAGTTGCAGTGTTTCAGGGTCATTTGCAACCTTTCCAGCTGGCTTTCAAGCAAAGTCAATGAGGGAAGCTAGATTCACCTAATGACCTCATTTAACTCAAAAACAGCAGTGATTGCTTGACAACCATGGCAAGAAAGTTCATAAAATTTGATGCAACTCACTTAACAACCACCTGACATAGCAAAAGAAATTTGGTCCCAATTGTGGTTGTAAATTGAGGACTTTAAAAATTTAGTAATCCTAGATAAGAAGTTTCCATGTGGAGATTGACCCATGGTAATTTGACCCATGATAGAGTCAGAAAAGCTGGTTACTGAAGAATAGAATAGAATAGAATAGAATAGAATAGAATAGAATAGAATAGAACAGAACAGAACAGAACAGAACAGAACAGAACAGAATTCTTTATTGGCCAAGTGTGATTGGACACATAAGGAATTTGTCTTGGTGCATGTGCTCTCGGTGTACATAAAAGAAAAGATATATTCACCAAGAATCATAAGGTACAACACAATGATAGTCATAAGGTACAAATAAGCAATTGAATCATATTAGGAAACAGTCAATATAAATCGTAAGGATACCAGCAACAAGGTTATAGGTTTCAGTCATAAGTGGGAGGAGATGGGTGGGAAAATCTCTCTTAGAGTCAAAATTAGAGTCAAAAGTACTTCCAAAAAGCAGTGAAAGGCTTATAGTAGGAATGAGATCTAGCTCTTAAATTGGGCTATTAATCTGGGTTGAAGTTTATGGCAGGGAGGTCCATGGAAAGATTTAGGTGGCAAGTACGTGTCCTGTTTCATCTGGAAGATTCATTACTAGAAAATCAAAATATTCTGTTATATAATCGCCATACATTTGATTGCATTATTCAGATTCTCCATGAAAAAACAGATTGTAGAGCACGCAAAACTATTCCAGGAGATCTTTAGCTTCCTTCAGCCAGCTGATACTAAAGAATCTAATAGTCTAAGACTATAGACTAGATTCTACATGGTGTTTCAGGTACTCTTGGCTCACCAGAGTGATATAGACGGTGTAAGCATTTTTTCTTGCTAACAAATATATTAAAAAGCATTAGCTTTTAGTGAATTACATTTCACTTCATTAAATGCATAGAAAAGCTAAAGTGATGTAGGAGTTAAATTAGGATGACGTGTTTGTATTGAGTGGGAGGGGTAGTTTTACAAAGTGGTATAGCCTAACTCTAAAAAATCATATATTGTCCTCTGCAGTTTGGTTCCTCCTTGGAGCCTTTTGGGAGTGCTTTCCCAGCTATGTGCTAAACTGTTTGAATCTACAGTATGGCTAATTTTACTCTTGATCTTCTCATTTGAAAGACTTTGTACTTTGTGTCAGCTACATCTGTCCACTAAGCAGCCCATAATCATTGTATTCATTGATGGATCCACTTTATCAGTTCTGGTTTTAAAATAATACGTCCCTTGTTCCCTAGTTTGTTTCTATCTTCAGTAGACCTCAAGCCATTGTTCTGGCAGTATTTCTTTCTAACCTAACCTGCTACTGAAATCCATTCTGCACTGTTGACTTATAAAAGGAATATGCCTTTTCTCAGATCGGATCAGTTATACGTTTGTCACTTTGGGAAACAATGTGGGCTCTGTTTCTCCCACTGGTCTGTGAATGTTTTTGGTGCTACCAGTTAAGCTCGCTACCTTCTCAGTTCCAATTTACATTAAAGGGCACTCTATTAAAGCCACTGCCTGATTTAGAGACCTTCCTCTTCAGGACATCTCCAAAGAAGCCAGGCAGTCTACTTGATCTACCCTTATGAAACACTGTGGTCTGGATGTCAGGGCCAGGGATGAGTGATTCCCACCCCACCCCCTTTTAGAGAAAGAATGGGCATTTCTTCTTTTTATCTTTAAGTACCCCTGCTGTTTTCCTATCAACAATATATAGGGAATGGGGGGGGGGTGGGCAAACATCCTTGCTTTTTTTCAACTTGATTAAAGAATATTCTAAAATGTTGGGCTACTGATAGAGTAGCCTGTCAGCATGATTCAGGGATAATAATGGGAATAATGACATACAAGAAACCCACTGTGATATAAATTGCAGCTGAGTTAGTTGCTGAGTATTAATGTTAACATTTTTACTAAGTAAAGTCATTCTGACAAAATATACACTCTTCTTAACATTTCTGCATATTAGTCCTATCTTACCCACCGTTAGTTATTTTTTTATGGATAGGCTAAAACATCAATCCAAATTTCTTTGTTAGGATTGGATTTCAAAGATGAAACGGTTTTAAATTTTAAATTGGATTTTAATGGGATGTTTTAAATTATGGGCCAAAGTATTTAATCTGGTTTTAAATTGTTTTTTAATTTTTATATTCATGTATTTGCTCTTGGCTGTTCACCGCCCTGAGTCCTTCGGGAGAAGGGCGGTATACAAATAAATAAATAAATAAATAAATAAATAAATAAATAAATAAATAAATAAAATGTTTTGTCTGTTTCTATTAAGGAAGCTATTGCTGTATAGTCCTGATGTAGCATTTGTAGAAATTTATTCCATGGTAGCATTTACTATTTCATGTCTGATATGTGTATATTTAAATGAATTATGTATGTACTGTGATGTTTATATTACAACTAGTGTATGAGAGAAACAATCCTAAAACACTTTCATCATGTCCACAATAATATCTTCAGGAAGTTAGGCATCTGTTTTTATACTTAAGTTTGAGAATCCTTGAATGAAAGTTGGCTGTTGTTAGTGCTTAATCTTCAGTATCTTCAGTTTAATTTTTGAAGTGTTGCAATGCAGCAACAAAGTTTTAGCATACTGAGTTTTAATAACCTTGCCCAAGCCTTTTAACAAGTTTGTGATGAATGATACTTAATTGGAATTATGTTTTCTAAACCAAGAAAGCTATTGCTTTTCTGACTAATTAACCTTGCACTTATTTAAATAATTTATTTTTATTTTTTTCTTGGACAATCAAAATAAGCTCATTTTACTTACTGGTTTTCTTTGCCCCATCCAGCTGTGCCTAATAACCTGGTTTAAAAAATTCTAAACTTAATTAATCTACTTCCCAAAGAACAACTAATACTCCATTTAACAAACAACAAACTAACAACTAGGAAGACAGAACTATGTTGTAGTGCTTCCAACTATTTTGTTTAGCTTCCATTGAAATCAATGGGAAAGCTACTGTTGATTTAAAATGAGCAGTGCCCTTCCTTGCACTAGTGCCATGATGGAGAACCTATGGCACACAGAACCCTCTCTGTGGGCATGCACGCTGTCGCCAGCTGCTCTTTTGGGTTCTGTTGCGCACATGCGCACTGGCCAGCTGCTCTCTTCTGGTTTCTGGCACACATGCTCATGACGGAACCCGGAAGAGAACAGCTGGCTGCCGTGCACATGCGCACTGGCCAGCTGCTCTCTTCCAGGTTCCGGCACTCCAGTGCGTGTGTGCACCCTCACTCCAGTTTTGGCACTTGGTGCCGAAAAGATTAGCCATCACTGCACTAGTACATATGCTTGTGGTTCATTGAAAATAATTGTACAAAACTGGTATGCTAAGAAATATTAGTTAGAGTGTTCGCATGGTTGGTCAAGCTTCATACATAAGATACTGAAGGAGAATTAAAGTTTCTTATATTTTTTGCATTCACTGATTTACATCTCCTCCTGTTGCTAACAAGTTGTGTTTTCCTAACATAGACAGAAAAAGAGGACAAGCCATACAAAGTTTGTTATCCTTTTTGCCTTGTTCCTCCCACTGTTTGCTCAGGTGGGAAGATATAGTGATGATCTATTTTCAACAGACCCAGCCTCATGAAGAACAATTGCATAAAATCCTTCCTGGCATGACTATTAGAGGTGCCAGAACTCTGACATGTAGATTCCTGCATGTCCAAATCCTTTAAACTCCATCAAATTCACAAACAACTTTACAAACCATAGACTTTTGTATTCCAAGGGACTGGGAGCTCTTGGGAAGTTGCTGAATACTAGCTGTTGCCAGCCCCAGCCAGTTTGGCTGACTGGAAGTGAAGGCTTCTGGGAGCTGAGATTTGGCACTATCAGAAAGGCTACAGTTCCACACCCCTAGTTTATCAGCTCATTCATTTGCCTCAAAGAGAAGATAGAGATTTTCATCTGATGGGAGGAAGCAACAGGGACCATGGACCTTTGTAGAATCCTGCTTAAAGGACTGGACCACAAAGCGCTAATAAGAGGATAAGGACATCAATATTGTCTTACGTTGGCAGCTAAAGTATTGATTTTTAGTTTCTGTTGACCAACCTTTTGACAATAAAATGAGATGTGTGTATGGGGGAGGGGATTAACAGTGGATTAAATATAACTAATTGCTATCTAGACTGCATATTTAATTTACTCTATACAGTAATCAGTTATAAATTGTTAAACTTAACAACTTTAAAGATTAATAAAAAGTTAAAAGTTACATTATAAATTGAATATTTATATATTTAAAATGGTACAAGGGGTTGGATTAGAAGACCTCTGAGGTCCCTTCCAACTCAGTTACTCTGTTAAATAGAATTAAAAAAGAAAATGTGATATTCAGTGAAAATAAATTAACATATTTCCTCATTGTTCTTGTTTAGGTCATGGAACCAAAGGAGTATTTGAGCTTCTGTCGGGATGGCGTCGAACCAGAGAAAATTTACCATTTAAAGACAGGGTTGCAGACGCCTATTCGGATGTAATGGTTTCCTACACCATGACAAGCTCCTTGTACTTCATAGCCTTTGGCATGGGTGCCAGTCCTTTCACCAACATTGAGGCTGTGAAAGTCTTCTGCCAGAACATGTGCATCTCCATCCTGTTGAACTACTTCTACATCTTCTCTTTCTTTGGCTCCTGCCTGGTGTTTGCTGGGCAGCTGGAGCAGAATCGTTATCACAGTATCTTCTGCTGTAAAATCCCCTCTGCAGAATATCTGGAAAGGAAACCCGTTTGGTTCCAAACCATGATGAGTGATGGGCACCAGCAGCCTTCTCATCATGAAGCTGACCCGTACCAGAATCACTTTATCCAGCATTTTGTAAGGGAACATTACAATGAATGGATTACTAATATCTATGTTAAGCCATTTGTAGTGATACTGTATCTCATTTATGCTTCTTTCTCCTTTATGGGCTGCCTGCAAATCAGTGATGGGGTCAATATTATCAATTTGCTTTCTAGTGATTCTCCAAGTGTGTCCTATGCTGTTATTCAACAGAAATACTTCAGCAATTATAGCCCAGTGATAGGATTTTATATCTATGAACCTCTTGAGTACTGGAATGGCACTGTCCAAGATGACCTAAAGAAACTGACTGAAGGCTTCAACACACTCTCCTGGCTTCAACAATATTACCAGTATCTGAGAGCTGGGAATATCACTGCAACCAATAAAAGTGACTTCCTTAGCATCCTCCAAAACTCCTTTTTAAGAAAGTCTGAGTTTCAACACTTTAAAAATGATATCATTTTCTCCAAGTCTGCGAATGGAAATAACATTATTGCTTCCCGTATGTATCTTGTAGCTAGGACTAGTGAAAAAACACAAAGCGATGTTATAGAATTATTGGAGAAACTCAGACCATTGTCCCTGAAACAAAGCATCAAGTTCATTGTCTTTAACCCTACTTTTGTCTTCATGGACCAGTATAGCCTCTCAGTAATTATGCCTGTCTTGATCTCAAGTTTTGGCATCTTGCTGGTCTTGTTACTTACATTCTTCCTTGTTATTCACCCTCTGGGGAATTTTTGGTTAATTCTCACTGTCACCTCAATAGAATTGGGTGTCCTGGGCTTAATGACTTTATGGAATGTAGACATGGATTGCATTTCTATATTGTGCCTTATTTATACTTTGAATTTTTCCATAGATCACTGTGCACCCCTGCTTTACACATTTGTACTAGCAACTGAGCATACCAGAACTCAGTGTATAAAAAGTTCACTCCAAGAACATGGAACAGCAATTTTGCAAAATGTTACATCTTTTCTTATTGGGTTGGTCCCCCTCCTTTTTGTGCCTTCAAACTTGACCTTCACACTGTTCAAATGCTTGCTGCTCACTGGCAGTTGCATACTTCTGCACTGTTTTGTTATTTTACCTGTCTTCCTAACATTCTTCCCACCATCCAAAAAACACCACAAGAAAAAGAAACGAGCCAAACGAAAGGAGCGAGAAGAAATTGAATGTATTGAAATTCAAGAAAATCCTGACCATGTGACAGCAGTCTGAAAGTCAAATAAAAATATGTGGGTTTTTTAGTACTGAAAAAATGTTACACGGAGCTACAAGGAAAGTAAAGATCTCCACTGCTTGTGCTGGCCCCTGCGAAGCAAGACAAAGGAAGCCCAAGGAAGGAGCATATATGATCCATGGAGGTGAATGTGTTGTTAAAGTAATAACCATTAAAAAAAAAAGAAAAGAAATGAGAGAGGGGGTAAAAATTCCTCCAAAAAGTTTCTCCTTTTAATCCTATGACTTCACTGAGGGGAATGCTTATTGGCAGTTTTAGCAAAAAAAAAAAAAAAAAAGGTTTCTTACAAATGAAATTATTAAGATTGTCCTAAGTTACTGATTTTAGAAGGCCACATAGTTTCAAAACAGGAAGAAAAGAAACAGTTACAGGAAAACATAGGTATGGCCATAATAGCAATCATATATTTTAAAAGTTGGCTCAAATAAAACCTATGCAATTGGAAGTAGATATTCATTCCATCTGAAGCCAAGTACTTCCTTATTTTATATATATCTTTATCTGTCTGCAAGTCACAGATGAAAATTGTTTTATTACTTCTGATAGCCAATATATCCCCTCCTAAAATATAAATTCTGTATGTACAGTATGCGAAAGAAATTATATAAAGAAAGTTAGCTTCTAGAAAGGTGGCATTTGACTATGCTCTCCTTTATGAATAGAGTGCCCCTCAGAACTACAAGTAATGAGAGTCACAGCAGACTCTCCTTGAATTCTGTCAAGCATCCCAGGGCTGAAACACTGCAGTGCTACCTATAATTACTGCAGTGCTGTCCTTTTGCTTCCTACACATACTCTGTACCAACATTAGGCACAGCATACTAATCAGGCCAACGTGTCAGCTATAATGATAGATCGCATTCCATAGATGCATGGGAATCATTTTGTGCCTGGATCACGTTGGAATACATAGCAATGTAAGCACCATTGAGGCAGCTCAATGTGATGTAATGCAAGATTTTCCTTTGAAATATGTTCCAGATGATAAGTATTTCAAATCTCCTTTGGTAAACGGATAAGTTGACTATGTCTTTTGCCGTAAGAAATAGAGAAAACATACATGTTTTAGTGAGAGAGAGCAAACGCAAGAGATGAGGCTGCTTGAGAAATTGTTCTTTATAAAGCATTGCTATTAAATATCTGATAGAATAGCTGTGATAAAACAAAGCTTTGTGGCTGTTGAGAATTATAGATGAAAGCAGTAAATGTGTCTCTTACTGCATGACTTTAGAATTAAACCATAGCAAAATGATACTACCTGTTCTACGAGTAAAGTCTCTGCTTAGAACTACAAGTGCAAGAGAAGGAATGGAAAAAGAATGAACCAAAAAACATAGATTGGGTGAAATTTTACCCTGAATTAAGCCACGTATTTCTCTCCCAAATGCATTTTGGAAAGGGCTTGCTTCATGCATTGTTGCCTTGCATAAATGAGCAATGTCTTCCTGAAAAATATATTTTATATATTATTATCATTGTTGACAACCAATGTCAAGGGGAATGTGGGGAGGGATTAAAATTACTAATTCTTTTCAAAAAGAAGCCGATTCATTTAACAGACTCTAATCGTCTATACTGTACCACTTGGCTGTGCATTGAAGATTTATGGATTTATACAGAGCTATGGCTACTATATCTGGGCTGCAAATATCTGGACAATCGTTAGATGGAAACAGAGAGAGAAAACTCTCTTTGCCGCCTCACCTTCCTCCTCACCTTAGTTCTCCTCACCTTCCCCAAGTGGCATGTAAATGACTAGAGATGAGTAAACTGTAAGCAATAACATACAAAGGAAAGGGTGGATAAAGTGAATATGGGAGGTGCTCATAATCCTCCCACTGAAAATGACAACCCCCTCTGTAATGTCCATTCGCCCATTCCGAAGTCAGGTGGGAAGAGACTTCCACAGAACTCAATGCTGGCCCTTCTTCCATGCTTCGTGTTTCTTTCTTGTACTTAGTGAACTGTTTCAAATTATTAATGCTGTAAAGAGATTCTGATTTGCTAATTATTTAACCTAAAGCCATATTCTCCAATAACATGTAATGCCATAGTGAATCAAGGTCAAACCATTTGAATTATTTCATATTTTTGTAGCTGTGCCAATCAAAGCAGACATCTTTAAGACAAACCTAGAAATATTAAAGATTTTAATCTGATATATTCTATATAGAAAGTATATGCTGTGTTACAAAGTAATTGTTCTTCTCTTTAATGTGTTTGGGGGAACTAAACATGTACCTGGATTTAAATCCCCATGAATGCATTACCTGCCATAAGAATTTTGCCCTTATAATATTCCATTGTAAGACAATCATTACTGATGATAATTTGTATTTGGTCATATAGAAGATATAGTTGGAATGTAAAAAAAGATAGTATGAGCAGATTGGCATACTTCTAGAAGACATTTTTCAAAATGGCTGCCAGACAGCCTTTTATTACACCACCCTCATGAACACATGCCACATCCATAAAATGTGGGTCATGCTACAATATAGGTTTTTGTATACAGGTAGTCCTTGACTTACAACAGTTCATTTAGTGACCATTCAAAGTTACAATGGCACTGTAAAAAGGGACTTATGACCATTTTTCACACTTAAGACTGTTGTAGCATCCCCATGGTCACATGATTTACATTTGGATGCTTGATAACTGACTCATATTGATGACCATTGCAGTGTCACAAGAATCATGTGATCCCTTTTGTGAACTTCTGACAAGCAAAGTCAATGGGGAAGCCAGATTCACTTAACAACCGTGTTACTAATTTAACAACTGCAGGGATTCACTTAATAAATGTGGCAAGAAAAGTTGTAAAATGGGGCAAAACTCACTTAACAAATTTCTCACTTAACAACAAAAATTTTGGGCTCCATTGTGGTCATAAGTTGAGGACTAACTGTATCATGAAACAAATGATAACATTCCCAAAGGTTTATCTGTTTACATCTTGAAATTAAACAATACTTAGAAAATAAATATAAAATAAAGAATTACTAGTATTTTTCCCCAGCAAATTCACAAATGAGTTTATGATGCACTCTATAGGATTACAAATATGTGTAACTCATATACAATCACATCATTAAGCCTTTGGCTTTCCAAGATGGAATTCTTGTAAGATATATGATTCTTCAAATCAGGCCCATAGTTGAGCATGAAAATCAACATGACATATACTCAAGGTATTTGGTTAGCCTAAAACCTGTTCTAATTGATCAACATACATTAAACAGAGGAAGATTTGCTTTGCCTCAAAGTTAACTGTACAGAATCTGCATTGCATCAAGGGACAAGAGGCTGAATTGCTGATTGTATCATCATGAATTAGACTTTGGACAGTCAATCTACATACCAGTGTTCCAATAATATATGTTGTACTGCATCTTATGTTCCGTATATAATTTTATGCCTGATCTCTTTTGTCGTACCCTAGTCTGTATTTCTTTCTGCTGTGTGATTTTTGCCTTTTAAAAAATGTTATTTTAAATCATCCAGAAAAATGAGATGGCTTAACTCTTGTGACAAGTAACTTTTAAAGCAATCAAGGTTCTGCTGCACTGTATAAAAAGACATTCCTATGGGGGGGGGGAATTAAGAAGCTTTTGTCATATTTAACAGTGGATCTATAGATTACAGTACCTGTTAGAATGCTAATCCTAGCTGGAGAAACCAAACAAATGGCTACATTTTGGTCAGGGATAAACATGTTCTCCATACAATTAGGTATTCAATAAAGGAAAGCAGTTCTACACAGTATTAGCCACAGTTTGATGTAATCGTTTTATAGTCTGTGAACTAAAACATGACTTCCAAGAATGCTTGAATAACTGTGAAAAGAAATCACAAAGACATGCCCGTTAAAATACATTTCCTGATCTTCAATTGATACAGAAATTCTTGCTGCTAGAAAACAGTTGGAATATTTCCTTCAAACAGTGCAGAACATTCTTCAATTTTTCATCAACATGCGATATTGATATGTTGGTGGTGCATGAGGAAAATGCAGCAATTAAAAACAACCCAAACTGTTACTGAAAGATTAAAGGAAGATGTTTTGATGTTACCGTATATAGTAAAGTCAAGGACTTTTTAGTGCCGTTCCTCCTGATATGAAATTGGATTAAAAGGAGTGCAGCTGTCCATAAAATGTTTTGACAAGTCATAGATGCTGAAGGAGCATGAGAAAAGGAAGAAGATCCAATGGCATCATTAAGATTCTTAGATTTCATGAAAAATGGCAGATTATATTAAATTCAGAAATGGCATGCACATCAACAAAACAAAGCATGAAACCCTCACCCATGCAAGAAATTGAAATTGCTCTTTCAGGTCATATATTTCTTCCATCACACAATGAGCTTGGTTAGAAGATTTCAAACAAGAATAATTGACATTACAATAAGAGGAGATTCTGTTGCAGGCATTCTTAATATGATATATTGCCATTCAACTAGCGATTGTTTGCTGATTTATTTGTGATGATTTAAAATCCTTTCTGTAAGAACTGTTTCCTTGCAAGTATGCCTCTACTTCCAATATACATTGTTGATTGCCCACAACTAGGAGGCTAAAAGGCAGATACACCTTCCACATTTAAGATTCTCAAAGTGTATGGCAGAATTATACTCACATTTGAGCAGCAGACTTCATTTTTAGAGATGCACTGAAAAATTCATCAAGAATATGAAAGACACAGGTCACTTGATCTGATTCCTTACATTGAATGACCTTTGAATGTGACATCACCCTCCTGTGCAGTTTCAGATATTTTGAAGAGAAATGTGGTTTGGAGATTAATACTAATTTTAACAAGATGAAAGATTGATAATACTCTACCCCTAAATGGGAAGGATGTCAGCTGAAATGAACAACAATAAAAACTAATCTACACTTATTTAGCATTGGGGAAGAGCAGATGCATGCAGCTGAAATAAAAAGTTGAAGAAGTTTGTGATTCACTAGGATGAGGAATTAAAGCAAAGGTGTGCCATGTGTGTCTAGAAGGGCTCCATCTGCCAGGAACATGGATCAGGGATATGGCAGAACAATTTCCAATATGCATCAAGTCCCTTGGCAATTATCCCACATTGCTAATACAAGTGAACGCAAAAGATACATTGAGGTCGCTGTAAAATTAGGAAAGTAGCTTCAGAAACTGGAAACTCAAGTGGTCCATCTATCTTCCACTTAGAAGAGGGCCAAAAAGAGGAAGAACATTATGAATGAATGACTGGCCACATAAATGCTGTAGACAGGATAGATATGAAAGACTTGAATGGGTGTGTGTGCAAACAAAGCAACATATTTCAAGAGCTTCCATTTCCAACAATGTAGGCCTCACAACAAAGTCTCTTATATATTGCTTACATATGTTATGATACTGTACAACTCTGCTGGATGGAACTTTTCAGTTGGCTCGATCATGCATTCTTAAATATGAATCCATGCATCCACAAAAACCCTATTGTGTTTTCCCATTCAATGGCTTAAAATATGTGACTGTCTAAAAGCTAGACAAATGTACATGTGGTAGAATAGATGTCAGTTGTTCAATGTTGCATGTGTATAGATTGCACATGACTGTAAGTTATGTATTTTGAGCCATTTATAGTCACATAATAACTGTAACAATGCTTTTTGCATGTTTTTGCATTTGCTAATAAACAATTATCATAGTATTCTTTAAAGTGATGCCTTGTTTTATATTGCCACAAACCCAACAGACTTTTTAATATTATCAATGGTTTTGTTTTCCCTCCAAACTATAGTTTAATATATGCTGTAGGGGTATAAATGTCATGGTTTATGGGCTACATACTATAGGAGAATGGTCAGCTATGATTTCCAAAAATGATGTTCATAGACTTATGTCAAACTGCTCATGTCTGTTCATTTTTTTCATTCCATAATGTGTCCTTTAAGTCCAAGTATAACTACTGCGCATCATAAGATTCTTATAAAACTGTATTACAAGGACAAGACTATGTTGACACTCATCTGCAATGATATTTTTTTTATTTATAAAGTTTATTGTCATTGTACGTATATACACAGTATAACCATACAACGAAATTCACATAACACCCAGAGATCAAGCCCAACACACATGACAATCCCCAGACACAATATATATATGAATATATTCATATTCAAATTGAAATTTTAATTTAGTGGAGGGTTCAGTTGATTTGTATCTGAAAATTCTTTGTAGTATTTCAAGTCTTATAAATTGCTAAATCAGTGTTCCATCTGACCTTATAGTCATGTTAGGAGAAACATTAAACCTTCAGATCTTCAGTAGAACTATTGTTAATGTTTTGTCATGCTAAGTTCAGAGTATTAAAAAAATAAGGTTTCTGTGATGTACCCAAACTTAAAACGCCATATATTCATTAAAGAATTCCCTGGATTTGCTTTCTCAATAAAATTAGCATTTTGGAACTTGAAGAAAAATTGTATTGAAGCAGTAACAGGGAAGGAAAGGGTTAATTTCCTTTCTTTGTATCTTACTGTCCTGATTTTGATTTTTTTCTTAAACATTCATATCATTTGCCAATGTTTGTACAATTTAAAGTGATATGTTTGCTGCTACACCTAGTCTGGCCTTGAGGTCAGAGATACTTGGAATGAACCACAATTATTGACTGGGCCATCAAACATGTCTGAGCAAATGAAATAGACATCTTGAGTGCATGCAATAATAGGTGTTTCTCAGTATATTCATGTTCAGCTAAGTTATGTACATGCATGCTATTTACAAATATACATCAGGCAACTAGAAATTTAAGAAACTTAAGGGGGACAGAGTTTCAATAATGGGCTAGTGTTTCAGAACAAATTACCGTATTTTTCAGACTATAAGAATAAGATGCTCTGGACTATAAGACACACCTAGCTTTTGGGGAGGAAAACAAGAAAAAAAATCTGGCTCTGCCTCCCAGCAATTTGCCTCCTTACAGCAAACAGCCTGGTCAGCTTCAGCACAGCCTGATTTAGGATGAGCAGCTGATTGATGGTTGAATCTGCTTCCCGGAATACTGCCTATCAGCTGTTCTAGGCTGCAGGGATCACCGCCACCCATCACCACCGCCACCACCCATCACTGCTGCCACCTATCACCGCCTCTGCGCGCCCCGTTTTTGGCCTCCATGCATCCCATTTTAGTTCTGTTCCAATCCAGGCGGGATTGCTGCCTGGAATGGGCCAAAAACAAGATGCAGGGAGGCCGAAAATGGGGCACAGGGAGGCCAAAAACAGGATGCGCTGAGGCAGTAATAGGTGGCAGCAGTAATGGTGGCGGCAATCTCTGCAGCCCGGAACAGCTGATAGGTGGTATTCTGGGAGGCCGATCCAACTGCCAATCAGCTGCTTGTGCTAAATCAGGCTGTGCTGAAGCTGACCTTGCTATTTGCTGCAAGGAGGCGAATTGCTGGGAGACAGAGGCCAAAGGGTAGAGGCTGGCAGGTAGGTGGGGCTTTGGCAACATTCACTCTATAAGATGCACAGACATTTCCACCCACTTTTTTTGGGGGGGGGAAGTGCATCTTATACACTGAAAAATATGGTAAGTCTTTCCTGTAAGGGGACATGGAAAAGAGAGAGAAGAAATGTTCCATCTTTGTTTGAAACCCAAGAACTCAAGGCACTTCCTAAAGATATTAAGGTGATTTCTCATTTCTCAATCTTATCATTCAGTCTGTTTAAAATTAGCTCTGTTGTGAAACCAATATAAATTAAGCTAATTTTAACCAAGATTTAAAAATAATGACTAAATATACCAAAAACCTGGACATGCGTTTTTGAGGTAACAATATGAAAGTTCTACTTGAATGTGATTTAGTATTCTACTTTAGCAAATACATAAAAGAAACTGAGTGTATTAACAAAACATGTATTTCTTTTCACCCTCTGTGTGAAAAAGAATCTAAAAAATAGTTGATTCCTTCTACATTTATATGGACCCTAAGAAGTTTACAGGATCTGTCTGGTGGTCTACCCAGCCTTAGTTTTGTATACACTAATTGACTCGCAGTCTTCAGTAGCCCTAGTTGTATTTATCTATGAATCATTTTGCGCAAATATGCACTGTTGCCACAGAACCTGCAATAGTTCACGTTTGGAAAATCATAGGCATTAATAGCTTCTATCATAAAACTGACATGAAAATCGCACTGTTATTGAACGTCAGTAAATGAAGAAGTAACAGGCTTCTTCTAAACTTACATTATTTTCAAATTACTATAAATTTGTTGTAGCCATACAACAGACTATGCAGAGATAATTACATTTGCAAATATATTCCAAGTGCATAGCGAATAAAGTGAATGCTAGCACCATACACTGTTTTCTACCAAGTGATTGCATTACACTTATAGGGCAGGGATTGGACATCGTGTTTATTCCTTCAGAATATGTGCTTTTAGTAGACATCTTAGAAAAAAACCTACCATATTTTTCGGAGTATAAGACGCACCGGAGTATAAGACACACCTACCTTTTTTGGTGAGGAAAGGAAGAAAAAGAAATCTCCCTCTGCCTCTGAGCAATTTTGCCTCGTTGCAGCAAACAGCAAACAGCCTGCTTTACTTTCATTTTCGTTTTCAGCATAGCTTGATTAGCACAAGGGAAAAAAAATCTCCAACAATTTACCTCTTTGCAGCAAGCAGCAGAGCCCTGCGCAACACAGCTGAGAGCAAATCAGCTGAGTCGGGAGGCCGATCCAATCAACTTGTGTTAATTAGCCTGTGCTGAAGCTGAAAGGAGCTGTTTTTTCTTCCTATTTGCTTGCAAGGAGGTAACTGCTGCAAGGCAGAGGCCAAAGGGTGGGGGCCAGTGGGTGGGCTGGGCGACATTCAGTGTATAAGATGCACCTAAATTTTCACCCCCTTTTAGGGGGGAAAAGGTGCATCTTATACTCCAAAGAATACGGTAGTTAAATAGAGTGAATTTCATCTCTTTGTCTATTACCACATGATCATCTCATGTGATGAGATGATCAAATCATTGAAAATGACCCGCTAGAAGAGCTGTTACGATCAATATTGTTGATATGAATGCTTAAGAATATTATGTATGTGAACTCAATTGAGTTTTATTAAAAGAAACTAAATTTTGCAACAGAACTTCAAAATTAACATATCATCAAATCTATATCATCAACTCAATTATATTTTTTAAAATGCCATCAATTACTTCTTAATAAATGTTGCAGTTTTTTGTGCAATTGTACAAGCAAAAATATTTTATATGTTGGTGATTACAATATAGGTTATAAATCCTCAACTTATAGCCATTTGTTTAGCAATAGTTTGAAGTTCTGACAGTGCTTTAAAAAAGCGACTTACAACGAGCCCTCATACTTACAACTGTTGCAGCATCTCCATGGTTACCTGACTACAATCCGTGCACCTGGCAACCAGCTTGCCTTTAAAACAGATGCAGTATCCTGGGTTCACATGATTGTGGATTTGCGCCTTTCTCAGCTGGCTTCTGGCAAGCAAAGTCAAGGGGGAAGCCAACAGGGAAGGTTGCAAATCACAATCATGTGTTCTCTTGCTTATTGATCGCAGCAAAAAAGATTGTAAAATTGGGTGCGGTCATATGATGCCTTGCTTAATGACTGCACCACTTCACAACAATTTTTCCAGTCCCAAGAATGTTGGTAATTCTAGGACTATCTGTATTCATTTCAGGCATGATCTGTATAATAAAGATGTCTGCCACAGAGGCACTATCCACAACTACTGCTTTCATAATCTGGTGGTCTCTAAATATTTCTAAATATTGAGTGGTCCCCTATCATTCTCAGCCTGCATATAACAGATTGCAGTAAAGAATTAACACAAGATATGATGACTACCATACACAGATGCATATTCAGGAATTGGAGTCTTCACTTCAAATCCAAACAAGATATACTTCCATATTTTACAGCAGCTATCCTCAACCTAAATTCAAGCCAAAATATTTTTATTTTTAGTAATTCTTTATCCTGGAAAAAAATAAAACTCTCAAGGATTATGAAAGTGTATATAAGGAGATAGTGTTACTTGCAGGATAATTTCTGGTTAAGGCTTTCTGGACATTAAGATGTTACATATATCTGAGTACCGAGACACTGGAAAACTCATGTGGCTCTGTCCATGCTGGACTACGCAAAACACAGGACTGTATTTGGGTGGTGAATACATTTTATTATGGTCATAAAGTAAAAAGAAACAAATAGCAAAGTGGAAATAGCATTTACTCAGGCCAGGGCAGATTTTACATATTTAACAAGTTTAGAAATAGTTATGTGCCCAAAATTGTCCTTTTGTCTAATAAGTAATGTAAAATATAATATAATAAAAAAGAGAGCCGGTTTGATCCAGTGGTTAAAACACCAGGCTAGAAAGCAGGAGACTGTGAGTTCTAATCCCATTTTAGCCATGAAAGCTAGATGACTTTGCACCAGTTACCCCAACCCACCTCACAGGGTTGTTGTTGTTGTAGGGAAAACAAGAGGAAGAAGATGCATTGGATATGTTTGCCGCCTTGGGTTGCTTGTGAAAATAATAAAGCTGGGATTCAAGTAAATAAAAATAAAATAAATAAATAAAAATAAAGCAAATCGGACTGCCCTCAGAATGTAGAAAGAAGGGTAATCAGCTGCAAACAAGAGTCACTCTAGAACTGAGCT